ACATTTTTATTATTTATAATATGATAACCACTACAAGCGAAAAATTGTATTACCAAAAAAAGTTGTTGAAACAGACAATAAAAGAGACAAAATAAAATATTTTCTTTAACAAATTTTGCTGATTTTATACTCAGATTTCGAGATTTTTGCATTGTTATCAAAAATGTTATGCAAGTTTGAGATTTTTCACGCGAAAATGAATGAAAACACGATTTACGACGTGCTTCTGGAGTGTTTCCAAACGCATTGTATCAAAAATAAAAAAGTTGAAGTTGATGAAACAAATAAGAAAAAGAAAAAAATAACTATAATATTCTTCATAGATTTTTTCAAGAATACATTTTTTATAAAATTAATTTACTTTACAATTTTTTCTGATATTTTCTTATTTCATTTATTGTCAAATAATTTAATGTTAAAATGTACCTAGTTGTATTGCAAATTTGTGAAAAGTTTTTACAGAAATAAAAACAAGTTATGATGAAAAACAATAATCATTTTTATTATTTATAATAAACACTCGGTGTAGCAAACACAACAAACGAAAAATTGGATTACCAAAACAAATTGAAGTTGAAAAGACAATAAAAGAGACAAAATAAAATATTTTTTTAATAAATTTTGCTGATTTAATACTCAGATATCAAACTTTTTGCATTGTTGTCAAAAATATGGAAGTTTGAGAGTTTTCACGCGAAAATGAATGAAAACACGATTTACGACGTACGCCTGGAGTGTTGTATCAAAAATAAAAATAAAAATATTTCGAGTTAAAATAGTTTATTCGCCATCTCGGCCGTCAATCACTTGTGAGATAAACGGGGCATGAAACCACATTCGTTGTTTGTTTAGCTCTCGATGATAAATGACTCACATTTAATTATTTTTATTATATTACACGCTTTTCCGAATTTTCATGAATGAGCCCCAACACGAAATAATTTGTATTAACGCCGTTTAACAATATCGATTGCTGAAAAACTGAAAAACTGAAACTTTTCTGCGATTATTGCATGCAACAGGTGACCTAAACATGTCAAACAAAGTCCTACTTTTGACTCTTAATATTGTTGAATATAAAATAGATACGAGACATATTCAGACCTCGAAATGCAACGATTTCTATGGAAACGGGTCGATTGTGGCCTCTGCACGTTTCAGATTTTATAAATTGATCTTCAGGACACGAGAATAAATCAAAGAAAAACACGTCATAAATAGGTCACAGCTCTTTTCAGGATATTTGTCGAGCTTCAGGGCGAATAATCACTTTTTAGATTTGTTGCATCCTGAAAACTCCAACTTTTATTATATTTGACTGAACATTTTTAACGATTTTCCGTTTCATCATAGTGGGGAACGAGATATTAATATTCAGGGAAATCAATACCAAATGAAATCAATTACAACGTGGACAATGTTGACCCCAAAAAAATTGTAAACATTTGAGCTAATGTTTAAATGCAAATATAAATAAAAATCTAGAAATAACACCCGGAAATTTGCTCCTCACAACTGCCAAATGGTTTTTTAATGAATCAGAAATCAGTTTTTTAATCAGAAAAGTTTGTTATTGCAAGAATTTAGCTTGGGATAAATTGCTAGCTACATGTTATTATTCAAAAACGTGCAAAATGATGTCACAAACGAGATAAACGTCTAGACAATAGAATATTTAAACATCCACTTGCCTAGAAGTGACTCAAGGCAAAATTTCAGCCTGAATTTATGCGAATTAGATAAGCTGAAACACTTTTGGATTTATTGATTCTGGGGTTATTTGTTTTTCCTGTAGTGGAAAACTGTGACAATAAACGGCGTCATTGGGGGTGTAACTGACGCATAAAAGAAGAAAAAGCGAAAGTTTTCTCGTGGTGTTTCAAGATTTTCTTTGATGTGGAAATTGTTTACATTTACTAACCGAAAAAGACAAATAAATGTTTGATAAATCTGGAAATTTATCAGGCAGAAACGGGATTTTTCACCTGGAATAAACTACACAAAATTCTCATTCTTGTCTTATTTTTAGATGTTTAAAAGTGTTGTGGCGCAAGAATAAATCCTCTTTAAATAATTTTCCACGCGGAGAGTGCTACCAGATGGAGATTTGCATGTTTATTGAAAAAATCGCTTGTAATTTTGCTACCACAATTACTAGTTCACAAAATCTCAAACTTCCATAAAATTACATTTTTGACAAGAAATAAAAAAATAGCAAAAAGTTCAAAATCCTAGTACAAAATTAGCAAAAATTAGAAAAAAATAATTTATTTTGTCCTTTTATTGTATGTTTCAACAACTTTGTTTATTATAGATAATAAAAATGTGTTTTGTTTTTCATCATAACTTGTTTTTATTTCTTTAAAAACTTTTCATAAACTTGCAATAAAAAAAAAATCTTGACAACAAATAAAATGAGGGAACATCAAAAAAATTAAAATTTCTGGGTTAAAGTTAAATTTATAAAAAAATAATTTTTAAACAAAATCAATGAAGA